ACATTTTTTATTCCAGAGTGTGTCATTACCTGTGGTTTGTGAGCTTGCCTCCTGCTTTGCAAAAGATCTAGAACCTCCCCATTGATAAAATGCTCAGAATACCTTCTTGCTATACCATCAGCATTCCTAAGGAATAAGTAAATACAAGCTCAGTTGAGAAGAAAAATCTGCATGGTTATTCATCAGGCAGGAAAAACAAACACAAATAAAGACAGTCGCAAAGTTAACAAGAAACTATTGTTGCCAAGGACATGCTTAATCTTTAGTGTCATAATAACCCTCTTTGAGTGACTACTGCTTTCTCACTTTCTCACTGAGAAACTTTGTTCTCTAAAATCAAAGACCCTGAGAAATTTGCTGTTTGAAATTGTGTCAGTAAGAATAAAATATCTTGCTTGGAGGATCTAAGTCACTTTAACACACAGACACAGCTTCAATTTACAAGCCAGTTGCAAAGCTTCAGAAAAGAGGTTTTCAAAGAAATAGGACCATGAGTCCACTCTGCAGTCTAGGCCTGATGTCGACCCTTTTTCACAGACCTGCTTTGCTTTGAGGCTATTAAAACCCTGTTTCATTTAAGTTCCATTCAAACTTTAAACTTTCTCAAAATTCTGTAACTTTATCTTTTCCTTCCTTTGGTAAAATGTCCCATGGTGTCTCTGGTGTGCAATCTCCCTCATTAAAAAAGGTCGATAGACCTGGTTTTGTTGACTGCCGGTTCGTCCCTGGTGGTCTTAGGCTGACTGGGCTTGAACAGTCTTGCTCAGCTTCAGAGTTCCTAAGATTACAAATTTCAAAAACAGATACAACAAACATTTTTTCACTCCTAAATATAAATGCTCCTGTCCACGTTGCCAGGTAGTTATGCACATGGCTATCACGTCAATTTGGTCATAACTAGGGTTAGTTCACTTCTCGGGAAGGTTAGTTATAGGAACAAGAAAGAAAGTCAGGGTTCTGCACAGCTTTTGGTTCGATTCTTGTACTGGCTTATATTTCTTTTTCTTTGGGGCTTCAGGTAAATATTTTGTCTGCTAAACTGATGCCCCCATTCCCAGTGCCTGAACAAACAAAACGAGACACAGCTAGTCAGCTGAAGCTGACAGGAATACAGGTGTCAATCTGGTTACAGGCAGGCAGTCTTGGCCACATCAACACCGCAGAGGCTGTGGGACAAGTGGACATGATACAACTGTCCCCCGCATCCCCCATCTGGGCCGCGGGGCCAGTGCCCTCAGGTCTATGCCCCACTGCAAGAACCCGAAGCTCGACGCCCGCCCAGCCCTTCACATCTGTCCCTTGGAATAAGCGAGAGGAGTGCGGCCTCAGTGGACGGGCGATGGCTTACAGGACAGCTCGTACACAGTACCAGCTGACATCTCCTAAGTCTGAGTTCCTAAGCGCCGGCCTCCACATTTAAGAGCGGACTGTGCCCCTTGGTGATTGGAGGACGTCCGGATGCACCTTGAGTAGAGGCCAAGCAAACTACAGAGCACGTCCGGAACGCCATATTTGCGCCTGACGTCATCCTCATGTTGCTTTTCCTCTCTGTGATTGAAGAACCAACCGGTTGGGTGTAGCAGACGGGGCGTGGCTCTTCAGGTAGAGGCCGAAATGGCTGAGAGGGGACCCAGGGCGCCATCTTGATTCCTGGCATCACCCTCAACGTGCCCTCCCTCCCGGTGATTGGACGAGCAGGGCGGCCCTTCCGGAGGCACACAGCCGACCAACCAGAGATCTGCGCGTGCTCGATCTGGTCATCTGTTTTCTGACATCTGGAGCCACTAGCGGTTATCCTGTTCATTCCTGGGCGCCTGCGACTTTCCGAAGCAAACAGGACTTGCTTGGGGAAAGCTGCCTTGCCAGTATAGTGGAGCTTGGTAGAAACTTAAGAACTGCCTGGGGCTGCCTAGGATGGGGATCTTGAGAAGCTTGTGGGGAGCACATATTAGGAAAGCAGGGGGCTCAAGCTACGTAAAATGCTGCGGGAGATAGGAATGGGAGACGCAGAATGGTCGGAGAAAAAAGCTAGGAAGGTGTTTGGGAGTAAGATTTTGGAGCGCCTTGAATGCCAGACTAGGGAGTCTGGACTTTACCCTGTAAGATAGGGGACAAAAATCAACTTTAAACAGGAGTGACATAACAAGATAATGTGCTTTAGAAAATAATTCTGTAACTGTAGGGGGAGTCCCAAAGTGTTTCTCAAAATGTATTCAAGGAAGTTCAAAGTGTGTTTGAGAGCTTGTTTTTATATGCAGATTCTTGCCCCTCCCCAGACCTGCAAATAAAGTTCTCTGGTTGTACAGCCAGGAAACTGCATTAAAATTTTTTTTTTTTAGGTTAACATACATTTGGTGAGAAAACGCATAAACCATATGGATAGGGCTTTGAATTTTCACAAGCTAAACACTTCAGCCAGGCAGGGTGGCTTGTGCCTGTAATCCCAGCTACTTAGGAGGCTTAGGCAGGAGAATGGCTTGAGGCCAGGAGTACCAGATCAGCCTGGGCAACATAGCAAGACCCTTGTCTCTAAAAAAATTAAAAACAAAAATAACACACTCCTGTAGTTAATACCAGATGAAGAAACAACATGGCCAGCAGCTCAGAAGCTCCCTTTTTCCCTTTAGCCACTGCTGCCTGCACCAAAGGTAAACATGATCATTACTTATAAGAACCATAGTCTTGACTGTTTTGAATTTGATATAAATAAAAGCATACAGCATATATTTGATATAAATAAAAGCATACAGCATATGTCAGCTTATTTGTTAATTTGTGAAATTCATCTGCATTGTTCCATGTAGTTGCTGTAGACTCCATTGCTACAGATTATAACAATTTATCCAGTCTCTTGTTTATGGGCCTTTGGGTAATTTCCAGTTTGGGGATATTATCAAAAAAAAAAATGCTAAAATGAACATTCTTCTTCATTCATATCTTTTGCTTTGTAAATTATAAAGCAAGACACCAAGACCTAAAGACTGATTCATTCACTACCTATTTATTGAGCCCCTTACCAGACTAAGGTCAGAAAATAAAACACAAAAGACGGCAAAGGTCCTGTCCTCATATAACTTACTCTAACGGAAACAAAACGACACCTAAGTGGGCAGAAAAACAAGTCAAACAATTGCAACTGTGATAACTCCGAGGGAAATAAGGTGAGCTAGAAAAAGAAGGGTGGGGACTTAATCTATTTTTTTTATGTGGTAGCCTGGTTAACTCTCAGAAAAATATCTAGGAAAAAATACAAGACATAAGTTGGCACTGCTACACAAGGAGTATTAACAGAGGGAAGAGCATTCCTGGCAGGAGAGACACCATGTATAATGGTCTTGGAGGAAGAGAGAGCTTGGCCCATTCAAGACCAGTGTGGCTTCAACACAAGGAGGGATGGCATAAGGTGTATCTGGGTATTAAAGCATATGATACAAGGCCAAAGTAAGAAGTTTAGATTTTATTCCAAATGTAGTGAAAAGCAATTTTAAAAGTGTTAAAAACAGGAAATAATGTGATCTGATTTACTTCTTTAAATGATCCCTCTAACTGCTAAGCAGAGAACAGATTAAAGACATAATTTAGGAGGCTGCTAGAGCAGTCTCAGGAAGATATGCTGGTATAGAGCTTAGAGGAAAGACTTGAAACACATCTGAGAACTGTCATGGCAAAGATCACCTTAATCAAGTAATAAAAGGTAACACCTCTCTCCACTGGCATGGGTAAAAATCTAAAAAATAAAATAACACCACAATATTGGGAACCCACGTGTGGTGGTGTGTTCCTGTAGTTCCAACTATTCCAGAGGCTAAGGCAGAACTGCTTGAGCCCATAAGTTCAAGGCTGTAGTAGGCTACAATCAGACTTGTGAATAGCCACTGCATTCCAGCCTGGGCAACACAGCCAGACCCCATCTCTTTTAAAAAAGTATATGTGTGTGGCCGAGCGCGGTGGCTCACGTCTGTAATCCCAGCACTTTGGGAGGCTGAAGCGGGTGAATCACAAGGTCAGGAGTTCAAGACCAGCCTGGCAAAGATGGTGAAACCCCATCTCTACTAAAAACACAAAAATTAGCCAGGCATGGTGGCAGGCACCTGTAATCCCAGCTACTTGGGAGGATGAGGCAGAGAACTGCTTGAACTCGGGAGGCGGAGGTGGCAGTGAGCCGAGATCGCCCCACTGCACTCCTCCAGCCTGGGCAACAGAGGGAGAGTCCGTCTCCAAAAAAAAGAAAGGAAAAAATATATATATGTGTGTGTGTATATATATAGAGAGAGAGAGGGGGAGAGAGAGAATGTATTCTGATGTGATGCACCAAGGACATAGCATTTCTACCAAAAATTCACTATCTGAATAAAACTCCAACAAACCCATGTTACAAATTTAAGAGTTAAATCTAAAACTATCAGTTAAAGACTAGAGACCTGATAAATAAATGTAATTTGTAATCCTCCATTAGACCAAGGGCCTGGAAAAATATTTTTTTCCCCATTTGCTCCAAAGAATATAGGAGCAACAACTTATAAATTTGAATAAGGACTGCAGGTTAGATAATAGTACTATTGCAATATTAATTTCCTGATTTTGGTAAGTGTACTGACGACATAAGAAAATCTCTTTGTTGTTAGGAAATACACATTTTAAGAATGTATAGATAGGCTGGGCATGGTGGCTCCCGCTGGTAATCCCAGCACTTTGGAAGGCCAAGACAAGAGGATCATCTTCACCCAGAAGTTAGAGGCCGCAGGGAACCGTGATGACACCACTGCACTCCAGCCTGGGCGACTGAGGGAGACCCTGTCTCTATAAAAGAATGTAACACCGGGCGCGGGGGCTCACGCCTGTAATCCCAACACTTTGGGAGGCCAAGGGGGGCAGATCACGAGGTCAGGAGTTAGAGACCAGCCTGACCAACATAGTGAAACCCCGTCTCTACTGAAAATACAAAAAACTTAGCCCACCATGGTGGCGCGCGCCTGTAGTCCCAGCTATTTGGGAGGCTGAGGCTGGAGAATCGCTTGAACCCGGAAGGCGGAGGTTGCGGTGAGCCGAGTTCCCGCCACCGCACTCCAGCCTGGGCAACAGACCGAGACTCCGTCTAAAAAAAAAAAAAAAGAAAAAAAAAAGTAGAGATAAAAGGACATCATGTCGGCAATGTCCTCTCAAATGGCAGAATGATATAGCACGTTCAAAACGGTAACATTTGTGGAATCTAGAAGGGCTTATGGGAATTATTTGTACTAGTTTAGCAATATTTCTGTAAGTGTGAGTTACTTTAAAATGAAAGGTTAACAAAGTTACTGAGATTAGGGAGAGAACGTGAGGAGCGAACAGGCTTAATACTAAGCCATGAATAACCAACAATTAAGTAAAACTCGGGAAAATAAAAAGGAAGTCAAATGGCATGCGATCAACGGAAGACATAGCTTCCGTACTCTTAACCTTAAATTACTAAGCGATGATCTTCCTGCAGCTCTCCAATCCAAATCATCAAAGACAATCTCGCCGCCCAACTTTGCCAAAAAGCAATTCGGCTCCAGCCGGCTCCGCCATGTTTTTCCAGCGAGCTGCGCGTACGCACGCACGGGTTCACTCACCAACCAATCGGTGCCCACGTCGGCGTCTCGTTACCGAAGGGGCGGTGCGTTCTTCTACACATGCGCATGGTTGGGCGGGCCTCCTTCCTTCTCGCCTAACGCCGCCAACATGGTGAGTCTTACTGATGCGGGTTCAGGGGCTGGCGACCATGCCGCTCGACCTCCACCTCTGCTGGGAAGCTGAGGCGCCGAACGGCTCCCAGAGGGTCCCAGGAAACGCATGGTGAGGGTCCCCGGGCCGACTGTGCACCGGAAACTGACCCTTCCCGGACTCGCGGCTGGCGAGCGCGTGGAGGGCCCGGCAAGGCCTGGCGCGCCTTGGGCCACGCTTGCGCGCCTCCGCCGCTGGAGCTGGACGGCCGAGGCGGCTCGTGGTCCGAGAGCGTTGTCCCGCCCGCGGCCTGGGCGTTGAGGAGCTGAGAGCTGGCAGGCGGTGGCGGTGGGAGCGGGCTTTAGCTACTGAGGCGTCTGCCGATTTCGTCCATCCAGGTTGGCGCCTGGTGCTCGGGCGGGTGTTCCCCTGCAGCATTCCTTTTCGCTGAATTTAACTATGTCGTCTTTAGCTGTAGAACGTAACATATCTAGTAAGTATTTATAAGTAAGTTTCACTGTCCTTTCTCCCCCACTTTTAGGTGTTCAGGCGCTTCGTGGAGGTTGGCCGGGTGGCCTATGTCTCCTTTGGACCTCATGCCGGAAAATTGGTCGCGATTGTAGATGTTATTGATCAGAACAGGGTAAGTGTCACAACTTCTTTCTTAACATGGCAGTGGACATGTGCTCTGCAGTTGACAATAATGAATTGTCTCGATGGCTGTGTAAGATGAGGTTGCTGTGGGTAGTAGCTTTATTTTACCATTGAGGAAACAGGTAATGGTAAGGGTTGTAAGCACAGTCTTAAATTAGCTCTTAGTATTGAATTTTAGTGTTAGCCACTTAAGGTAGAGCCAGTTATGGACTGAAAAGTTGGTTAGTTTTAAATGAGTTACTATACATAAAGTGAGTTTAGAACAGATCCAACACATAGAGAGCACTTTTGTATTTGCTGCTGTGTATTTGAGACAGGCAAACTAAGGAGTTGACCACTGGCTATAAATGAAAAGGGATCAGAGTCCTAAAGTTGCCTGTAAATTACGTGTGGTTGGTTTCTATTGGGTACTAATAGTTTAAAAAGGAGCATTTAATGGTGTGGAGAAATATTTGTGTTGAGCAAAAGAAGTAAACATACGTGACCCAGATAGGACAATCCTTGTCTTTTCTGAGCACTTTATTTAAATAGTAGTGTGGGTTTGATGGCCCTGAACGGATAAGTAATTTTACAGAATCGTCTGACCATTTTAATTGCTGTTAGATTTTGCACTGAAGTTCTTGATGTTTGTGTTCTAGGCTTTGGTCGATGGACCTTGCACTCAAGTGAGGAGACAGGCCATGCCTTTCAAGTGCATGCAGCTCACTGATTTCATCCTCAAGTTTCCACACAGGTAACTATCCACTAATCACTCCTCCCTCCCATCCCCAGATTTGTTTATACTAGTAAAAGTTTGTTTTAGAGTAAACAATATGGAAGATTCTGAGCCATCCTGAAGAGGGATTTACGTTATAGAAGTAGACAGAGATTATTTACTTTTAAAATGTCCTGGGGGTGATAGCTCACGCCTGTTATCCCAGTACTTTGGGAGGCCACGATGGGAGGGTCTCTTGAGCCCAAGAGTTTCGAGACCAGCATGGGCAACATGGCGGAAACCCCTGTCTACAAAAAATACAAAAAAATTTGTTGGGCGTGGTGGCATGTGCCTGTAATCCCAGGTAGGGGGGCCACGGGGGCGCTGAGTTGGCACGATCACTTTAGCGAGGTCAAGGCTGCAGAGACCCATGATCATGCTACTGCACTCCAGCCTGGATGACAGAGTGAGACCCTGTCTCGAAAATAAATAAAATAAATGCCTTAAAGTCACTTTTCTACCCTGGTAGTTTAGGGCTTTGCCTTTGTTTAGACTTGCCATCCTCTTTTCTTCTGGTCTCTGCCAAACTTTTAGCTTAAAATAACAAAAATACTAAGTCTTACATTTTTTGATACTAGCTATCATTAGGCGAGCTCTTAGTGTGTGTCAGTTACACAGTATTTAACATGAAAGGTTTTATCCCTAGCTTACATTTAAATGAGATGGTGAATAGCGGTTCTTTTTTGACATGAAAATTAAAACACTTCAGTGTGTTGCTCTACAGTTAATTCAACTCACAGTGATGGTTGCAGTGGAACATGTACTATCACGTGGCCACTACAGATAAAGTAGATCTAAATAATGTAATTTTGCATACTTTAAAAAATAGTCAAAAACGGCCGGGCGCAGTGGCTCAAGCCTGTAATCCCAGCACTTTGGGAGGCTGAGACGGGCGGATCACGAGGTCAGGAGATCGAGACCATCCTGGCTAACACGGTGAAACCCCGTCTCTACTAAAAAATACAAAAAACTAGCCGGGCGAGGTGGCGGGCGCCTGTAAGTCCCAGCTACTCCGGAGGCTGAGGCAGGAGAATGGCGTAAACCCGGGAGGCAGAGCTTGTAGTGAGCTGAGATCTGGCCACTGCACTCCCGCCTGGGCGACAGAGCGAGACTCCGCCTCAAAAAAAAAAAAATAGTCAAACTTGCTGTATGCTGAGCGCTACAGACACTGCACGTGTATTAACACATAATGGAAGTACTGGTGGTTGAAAACATGCCACTTGAACAGCCTCGAGTGAACATAGCGGAGCTCCTGCTACTGTGACATACCGCATTGTTTGCAGCACAATTAGGAGTGAAGCTTGAGGATACTTGTCAAAGTTCAAAGCAGTAGAAAATACTTGGTAACTTGGGTTTTTCACTAGGTACTCTTGTAATTCTGCCTTGGATTCCAGAGCACCCTGGATTTTATTTTTAGGATGTTTGACCACAAATTTTTACCATAAAATTTTTTTTTAAAGAGCCTAAGAGTTAACATTAATTACTTTGTTTGTTATGAGAATGAGATTACAGTGGCTCCTTCCTGTAATCTCAGCACTCTGGGAGATAACTTGAGGCCAGGAATTTGAGACCAGCCTAGCCAACCCCGTCTCCACTAAAAGTCCAAAAATTAGTCGGGTGTGGTGGTGTACTCCTGTAGTCCCAGCTATTTGAGTGAATGAAACAGTAGAATTGCTAGAACCTAGGAAGTGGAAGTCGCGGTGAGCCAACATTGCGCCAGTGCATTCTCCAGTCTGGGTTACAGAGCAAGACCCTGTCTCAAAAGAAGAAAAAAACAAAAAGGTTTTCAACACGTCCAGTGCCCGAGTGGAATTACATATAGTCAGAGGTGGGGTTTTTGTATTGTTTGTTTTCGGGTGGCTCTTTCTTTCTTTCTTTTTCTTTCTCTCTTTTTTGACACGGAGTCTCTGTCACCCAGGCTAGAGTGCAGTGATGCAATCTCGGCTCACTGCAACCTCAGCCTCCCAAGTAGCTGGGATTATAGGCACCTGCAGCCACACTCGGCTAATGTTTGTGTTTTTAGTAGAGACAGGGTTTCACTATGTTGGCCAGGCTGGTCTTGAACTCCTGACCTCAGGTGATCCACCCACCTCGGCCTCCCAAAGTGCTGGGATTACAGATGTGAGCCACTGCGCCTGGCCGAGAGGTAGTTTTTAAATTCGTAAAATGAACTTGGCTGGGTACAGTGGCTCACACCTGTGATCCCAGCACTTTGGGAGGCCAAGGTGGAGGATTGCTTGAGCCCAGGAGTTGGAGAGCAGCCTGGGCAACATAGCAAGACCCTGTCTCTACAAAAAGTACAAAAATTAACTGGGTGTGCTGGTATGCACCTGTAGTCCCAGCTACTTGGGAGGCTGAGGCAGGAGAATGGCTTGAGCCAAGAAGGTCGAGGCTGCAGTGAGCTATGATCGTACCACTGCATTCCAGCCTGGGTGGCAAGCAAGATCCTCTCTAAAAAAAAATGGAACTGGATTACAGTTTTGATTAAAATAAGCTTGAAGTTACAACCTTTTCTGGCTTACTGAACACAAAAATGAGTAAAATACATTGTGTGCCAGCCATTGTGTCTTATGTAGAGAAAAAAGTGTAACAGGAAGAGTGCTTTTCAAGGAACAAAGAAAGTGTCCTTGATAATGAGTGACTTCAAAGCTGATCTGTGGTCTTGGCTCGTTCTAGTGCCCGCCAGAAGTATGTCCGACAAGCGTGGCAGAAGGCAGACATCAATACAAAATGGGCAGCCACACGATGGGCCAAGAAGATTGAAGCCAGAGAAAGGGTAATAACTTGGGGTCATTTGAATTCTGGTCCTTTAGTTGGAGAGTTCAAGGTAGTGTGAGAGGGATAATTTTTATTTATTTATTTTTTTAACAGAAAGCCAAGATGACAGATTTTGATCGTTTTAAAGTTATGAAGGCAAAGAAAATGGTAAGATTTAAGATCTGTGTTTTTGTGTAACAGCTTTAGAATAATGAGGGAGCAGTAGCCAAACCCCATTTCAAGCTGCCAGCTTCTTGGGAGTTTTCTGTAAAAAGGGAGAATTTATCCTCATTTGTATTTCATGATGTCCTTATGGAATTGTTACTTTTCTTCAGATGCAGGGGAACAGATCACTTAATACCCTTTCTGAAACCAGCATAAATTGGAGTTTATTGTATGTATACACAATAAATGCTTTCTTAAATTGATAATTTTCAGAGGAACAGAATAATCAAGAATGAAGTTAAGAAGCTTCAAAAGGCAGCTCTCCTGAAAGCTTCTCCCAAAAAAGCGCCTGGTACTAAGGGTGCTGCTGCTGCTGCTAAAGTTCCAGCAAAAAAGATGACCACCGCGAGTAAAAAGGCTCCAGCCCAGAAGGTTCCTGCCCAGAAAGCCACAGGCCAGAAGGCTGCGCCTGCTCCAAAAGCTCAGAAGGGTCAAAAAGCTCCAGCCCAGAAAGCACCTGCTCCAAAGGCATCTGGCAAGAAAGCATAAGTGGCAATCAAAAAAAGTAATAAAGGTTCTTTTTGACATGTTGGCAAATGTATTTAAGCCTTTGGATTTAAAGCCTGTTGAGACTGGAGTTAGGAGACAGATTGATAGTAGGATTACAATAAACATTAAATAATCAGTTCCTTAATCTCACTCTCTGCCCATACTTGGATAGATAGTACAAAATCATTGCAAAGTCATAACTGATCATGTCATGAGAAATCATGATAACTTAGAACACCAAGTGACACAAGTGACATTTTTTCTTATGGTCACCTTGGCTTCAGATCATTTTTTTTTTTCCTTGTACAAATATGTTTGCCATAAATAGGTAAAGTGACAGCTTCTTGATGCTCAAGAGTCTAGCAGTTTTTTTGTTTTTTGTTTTTGAGACAGTCTTGCTGTGTCACCCAGGCTGGAGTGCAGTGGTGTGATCTCAGCTCTCTGCCACCTCCACCTTCTGGGTTCAAGTGAGTCTCCTGCCTTGGCTTCCCAGGTAGCTGGGCCTACAGGCGCCTGCCACCACGCCCAGCTAAATTTTTTAGTATTTCTTGTAGAGATGGGGATTCACTATGTTGGCCAGGCTGGTTTTGAACTCCTGACCTTGTGATCCGCCTGTCTCAGCCTCCCAAAGTGCTGGGATTATAGGCACGAGCCACTGCATTTGGCCTTTTTTGTTGTTGAGACAGTCTTGCTCTTGTTACCCAGGCAGGAGTGCAGTGGAACGATCTTGGCTCAGTGCAACCTCTGCCTCCTGGGCTCAAGCGATTCTCCTGCCTCAGCCTGAGTAGTTGGGACTACAGGCATGTGCCATCACGCCTGGCTGGTTTTTGTGTTTTTAGTAGAGATGGGGTTTGACTGTGTTGGCCATGCTGGACTCGAACTCCTGACCTCAGGTGGTACACCCGCCTTGGCCTCCCAAAGTGCTGGGATTACAGGTGTGAGCCGCTGTACCCGGCCTGCAAATTTTCTTACAAAAAGTAGGAAAATAGGGCAAGTATAAAAATTACAGGTTGAGCATATTTCTAATCCAAGAAGCTCCAACCTCTGAAACTGAGCTGTGACACAACAATTATAAAATCCCTATCCTACCCCCATGGTGATTTATAGTCAAAATCCAGGTACACAACACTATTCATTGTCCCTGAGGAAGTAGTAGTTAACCTTCAGGATCAAAATGCAGGTACACAACACTTCATTGTCCCTGAGGAACAAGTAGTTAACCTTCAGGGTATGTGGATATGAAGCATAAATGAATTTCCTGTATAGACCTAGGTCCCAAGCATTTCAGATAAGATACTTACCTTGTATATAGTAGGTTGGACTTCTGGTTCTCTCTACCACAAAATTTAGGTAATTTGGGGCAATCCTGACCTCAGGTGGTCTGTCCGCCTTGGTCTTCCAAAGTGCTGGGATTATAGGTGTGAGCCACTGCTTTTGGACAGGAATACATTTTAAATGAAGCTCATTTTTTAACCAAAAGCTAGCTTCAAGCTTCACTGAGGTAAAGGAAAAAGCACATTGATTTGCTTGATAATAGGTAAGTGGTATGGTGTGATGAGGAAAATAGGGACAATTTGGGATTAGCTGTTCTACTCTGGGAGGTAGAGAATTGTTTAGAGAAAGTGGAATCTACAGCTAAAATGAGAAGGTGGCATAAGGGGAAGAATGACATCAGATAGGAAATAAACGAATTGATAATGTAGACTGGCTTGGGACCACAACAAGGAAGTAGGTTAGTGGTTAGATCCTGTAGGGGAACACAGGAAGTTACTGAGGGTTTTTTTTAAATGGAGTGATATCTCAGATTTAGATCATTGAACTGGTAAGACTGAAACTTAACGGGATCAAGACTGGGAATGCCGGGGTTGGCAGTATAATCCAAGGAAGTGGCAGTGGTAATGCCATTTACGTGGTCTTGATCATGCATTGGACTGCAGAAATAAGTGAGAAAACAATGTGACGGGGTTTCTGGTTTGTACCTCTGGCTCATTGGTTGTGAGGGAACATGAGGCAGGGTAAAGTTTATCCAGGTGAAATGAGTTAGATATGTAGACTATCTGGGTGTATATGCAAAACCTGCAGACAATCATACTAAAATCCTGGCTCTGCCTCTTGAAAGCTATGTAGTTCAGGCACATAGCCAAAACCCAGTTTCCTCATCTATGTGGTAAGCTTCAGAGCAGTTAATAAATCATGATATGTAGTCCAGTGACTGGTTCCCCTGGTAAGAGCTGTGATAATGACACAAGGAGGAGAGGTTTCAGGACAAACTTGGGATTCATGAATATATAAGTAGTCACTGACTGCCCAGGGGTAGAATGACAACAATCAAGAGATGAGTAGAGAGGTTGGAAAGGAGTCATGAGGGGTGGGAAACTAGCAGGGCACATGAAAGCCAGGGAAAGAATTTTGCTTGAGATTGTCACAGTGAGAGGAAAAGGGCAGTAAGTGAAGGAGAAATGTATGGGGTTCGGAGGTTTTGTTTTTGTAAATCTGGAGTGATGGGCATGTTCAAATACTTCTGGGAAAGGAGCTAATAGTAGAGAAGCTTGGCCCTTCGAAAAACAGGAAGGGAGGGATCCTAGGGGAGAGGAGGAAGGATTAGCTTTAGAAGAAAGATGCCCTTTACATGAGGAAAAGGAAGAAAAGGTGGGTTTAGATGGTAAATCTGTAGGTTTGCTGTTAGGAAATTGAAGACTTTTCACCTTGATCTCTGAAGTTTTTCTGGAGTTAGCAAGGCAGGGTCATATACTGAGAAGGAGGGATGAGGGAATGTAGATTTGCAGACATACAGGTTGTAATTGCTTATGGAGGAAAGGGGAGAGCACTTCTGTCAGACTGCCAGCGGCCTTGAGGGCCCTTTGGCTACAGTCCATGAGGTGCTCAGAGGATAAAGCTTCATGGTAGAAGCAGTATTCAAGCTGCACCTAGAAAATAGTGCAATATAAAACAGTGGAAATTGGAAATTCCAATCTTGGAATCTCTAGGAAAGTAACTGAGGCATATGATGCCTGAAAAGGAGTAGAAAATAAAATTAATAAGGTGGGGCCATATGATAAAAGATTGGAGGCCTGGCACTGTGGCTCACACCTGTAATCCCAGCACTTTGGGAGGCTGAGGCAGGCAGATCACCTGAGGTCAGGAGTCCAAGACCAGCTTGGTCAACATGGTGAAACCCCGTCTCTACTGAAAATGCAAAAATTAGACAGGCATGCAGCATGCCTGTAATCCCAGCTACCTGGGAGACAGGCAGGAGTATCACTTGAACCCAGGAGGTGGAGGTTGCAGTGAGCTGACATCACGCCACTGCACTCCAGCTTGGGCGACAGAGGGAAACTGTCTCAAAAAAAAAAAAAAAAAAAAAAAAGACTTGAGCAAGGGAGTACTCTTCAGGAAGTTGAGTAGTATAGTATGGATTGGATTGGGGGATGGGGAAGGAGAGCAGAAAATTGTCGAAATATCCAGGTACGTAAAAGTCTACTTTGATTATGGAGAAGTACACACTTGTTCAGTCACCCTCATTGGAGATAGGGGATGGCATACGAAAAGAATGCTGATTTTGGGCTGGGCACGGTGGCTCACGCCTTTAATCCCAGCACTTTGGGAGGCCGAGGGAGGTGGATCACGGGTTCGAGACCAGCCTGGCCAAAGAAACCCAGTCTCTATTAAAAATCAAAAAATAAAAATGCTGATTTGAGTCATATTCAGGTTTAAATTCTGTCATTCGGCCCAAACTCATTACGTTACTTATGTGAGTCTCATCTAAAAAGCAAAGATCCTGATACCTGCCTCATATTATGGCAAGGATCAAATGAGTCAAATAAGATGCTTGTGAAAGTGAGGACAGGATCTATCCTCAACACCTGGCGCAATTCTTTTTACACATTAGGTACTTATTTATTTGGGTTGAATTGTGTTGAACTAACCTGGCGGTATAGGCAGAATTTGGAAGTTTGTTTTTCAGAAAGTCTTGACTTCTTCTAATCTCTAAGTAATTGGCATGTCCTCTAATTCATATTTTTCCCCTCTCATCTGTTGGGTGAAATACTGTTTATCCCTTAGTACTAAAATTAAAGGCTACCTCATTCTTCTAGTTAGCTGATTTTTTAAAATCTAGACTAAACCATAAGTCATTTACATTTAAATATTACAGGTGAAAGTAAATGGTCCTTTCATTATCTCCACTTCCAATTCCAGTACCCTGTATAAAGGAAAATAAACACATCTTGCAGACATTTTTTCATGTATTTGTAGTATAGGACATAAAAATATATGTGCTTGTTTTAAGCAAATTTCATACTCTGCAACTTGTTTTTTTCTCTTAATATGTTCTGGAGATCTTATCTAGTCAGCCTCTAAATTAGAGTTCTTCAGAAAAACAACCAGTGGGATGGATGAATGGGCTCCAGAGATTATGGAAACCAAGAAGTCCCACAAAATGCCATCTGCAAGCTGGAGAACCAGGAAAGCTGATTGAGATAATTCAAGCTGGATCCAGAGGCCTGAGAACTGGAAGTGCCAGTGGTGTAAGTCCTGGTCTGAGACCAAAGGCTTGATCAAGATTCAAGAGCATCAACAACTGAGGGCAGGAGAGGATGGGTTTCCCAGATTAAAAAAGTGAATTCGGCTGGGCTCGGTGGCTCTTGCCTGTAATCCCAGCACTTTGGGAGGCCGAGGCAGGCAGATCACCTGAGGTCAGGAGTTCAAGACCAGCCTGACCAACATGGAGAAACCCCATCTCTACTAAAAATACAGCATTAGCCGGGTGTGATGGTACATGCCTATAATCCCAGCTACTCAGGAGGCTGAGACAGGAGAATTGCTTGAACTCGGGAAGCGGAGGTTGCGGTGAGCCGAGATTGCACAGTTGCACTCCAGCCTGGGCAACAAGAGTGAAACTCCATCTCAAAAAAAAAAAAAAAAAAAGCAAATTCACACTTCCTCCCCCATTTTGTTCTATTTGAACCTTCCGTGGATAGGATGATGCCCACCTGCATTGGTGAAGGTCATCTTTACTCAGTCTATCCATTCAAATGCCAATCTCTTCCAGAAGTAATCTCACAGATCCAGAAATGTTTTGCTTATTAATCTACCTCATTCTTTTTTATCTTCTGCATAATAATCCACAACATGAAT